CGCGAGTGGGCCGTGCGGTGCCCGGGGGGGAAGAGCAGCTGGCGGGCTTGCAAAGCCTGTTCCCAGGGCGGCGATGCGGGCCGGTGCGGCTCCCTGCCAGGCGGGGGAGCGCGTCGTTTCCCCCCCAGTTCAAGAGCGGGGTGGGCAGGGGTGCGACAGGAAGCAGCACCCAAGCACGGCCTGCGGCGCCCACCTGGCAAGTGCCCGAGGGGGAGCGGGAGCCCGGACGTGCCCCCACGGGAGTGCGGCCGGCCGGCTGATGGCGGAGCTCGGCGAGGCAGCTGCAGGGCCAGGCGGTGTCCCCTCGAGAAGCTGCTGCCCTGCAGGGGACACGCTGGCCTGGGGGCGGCGGGCAGCCCACTGGGTGCCCGATCAGGCCGGGCCCTGCGGGCAGCGGGAAAGTAGCTGTGGACCTGGGGGAGGGCGGCTCGCACGGAGCAGCTGGTCGGGGGGCGCCCCTCGGCACCCCCGGGATTGCGCCCCGCCATGGCTGAACTGCAGCCGCGTCCCCGACCTGACTGCGCCCCAGAAAAGTAACTGCAACTGCCGTCTTTACCCATAAAGACCCAGACCCCTCTGTAAAAGGAAATGCTTTTTCTCTTTAAAGAAAATTGGCAATTTGCCTTATTTTTTTTTTTTATTGAAGTAATTCTATTCGGTTTGAATAATGTTGGGAGATAAAAACCCTCCATTATGGCTTTTTTAATGAATTATAATTCTGAAAAAGTCTTAATAATAGAAAATGACATAAAAGGTTCATAGAATAATTCTTATCTTGTTTTCCTCGCTGGTCTGTCTCGCTGGTTGTGTGTAATCGGCATCTCTTCAAAGAGCAAGTGGGCAATTTGAATCAACGGCATCATTTGCTCAAGTCTCGAGACTGAGTTAAAATCCAGGTTTAAGACGGAGGATGCTTTCGGGGCCTTTCCTGGGTTTTCCGAGTGCCTCTCCCGTGTAGCTGCGCAATAAAAAAGGACCGTCGCGTGGCTGAAAGGGCTGAGGTGGGCGTCCCGTGGCCGCTACAGGACCACGGGGCCAGCGCCCGGCGCCCTCGGGTGGCCGGCCTTGCAGGCGGGGCTCCAGCGGTGGGCTTCAAGCTGCTGTGCCGGTGCGCCCTGCGGTCACACTGACTGCGGGGCTCGGGCCTGGGCAGAGGCTCTGCGCCCGACTCCCGCTCTCCAGGCAGAAGCCGGCGGGCGGGCTGGGGCCGGGAGGCGCCGAGGCGGAGGGGTCGCGCCCGCCGGCCCCCGCCCCTCGTGGCCCCGCAGCGCCGGCCAGACCAGACCTTTTCTTTGGCAGCTATGACACCGAGGGCAGAGGCTTCGTCACTTACCAAGAGTTCCTGGAGAAGCTGGGCATCACCTACTCCGCGGACATCCACCGGCCCCCCGGGGAGGGCCACTTCAACTTCATGGGCCACTTCACGAAGCCCCAGCAGATACAGGAAGAGATGAAAGAGCTGCAGCAGACCACCGAGAGGGCGGCGCTGCTCAGGCGAGTGTGGGCGACCCGGCCCCGAGGGGGTGTCCCGCCTGCATCGGCTGGGCTGCCCGCGTGGTCCCGGGCGCCTGCCCGCGCTGGCCGCTTCCCGTGGAATCCCGGGCGCCTGCCCTCCGCTGCTGGCCACTTAGAGATTGGCCCTGGGCACGGAGCCCGCGGAGGTGGAGCTGCAAGCCGACGGGAGGAGCAGCTGTAGGTGACCCCCCCGCCTCCATGGCAGCTGTCGGCCACCACCTGCGGCCCCCCACCGGCCCAGGGAATGCGGGGCCAAGGCCCTGCCCTGGTGTCACGGGTAGGCGGGCGCCGCCCAGCAGGCGCAGCTGCAGGGTGAGCAGCGCCCTTTGCCTCTGGGCGTCTGCTTTGGGGGTCTGCTGCCTGCTGGGAGGGGAGCTCCCGTCTGCCCCAGCGCGTCTCGCGCCAACCGCCGGGGGTGGCGGGTCCTCCCGCGCTCTTAAAACACAAGGCTGTGATGTCTCTGACGCACTTCCCCTCGGGCGGGGACAGGGACACGGTCATGGTGCCGGCCGTGGCGTCTGCGGGCCCTGAGTGTCGGTCACCAAGGCGACGCCTGGCGGCCAGCAGGCACGGGGGAGGCTGGGTCGCTCCCAGGGGCGGAAGCGCCTGTCCCCGGCGTGAGCGCCCGCTGCCTTCTCTCCCAGGGACCAGCTGCAGGCGCATTACGAGGACATCAGCCAGGCGCTCCGGAGGCTGGACGGGGCGGCCAGCGGCTACACCTCCCTGTGCGGGCTGCGGAAGGTGCTGCAGGGGTGCGGCTGCGCAGTGAGGGAAGAGGAGCTGACCCACCTCCTCCGCAGGTTTGCGTGGCCGGGGTAGCCCCTCGCAGCCAGGCAGCTGCCGCGGCCAGTGGCCCTGCTGCCGCCGTGCGTCTGTCCAGCCGCGGGACACCGAGGCGGCCGCGCCACCCGGCCTGGCTCGGCTGCGTCCCCCTGGCTTTCCCACGCCGACTCCCATTTACCGGGCGTTCACGCGCTTTGGCGAGTCGGCGGCTCTCCGGGGCTTTGTCAGAAACGGGCGCCCCTCGCCCGCCCCCCTGAAGACGCCCCCCGGATGCGCACCCGCGTAGGCAGAGTGTGCCGGCACCCCAACCCCACCGCCCCCGGAAACGCACGAGCCCCGGCCGCCCCCAGTGTGCGGCCAGAGCGCGGCGGGCTGACGGCTCCCTCCTCCGCTGCCGCGCCTTCGCCCGAGCTAGTCCCGTCCTGCTTCTCCGCCCGGTTTCCGCTGTCGCTCATGGCGTTTCCATGGCCTTCAGCTCGCAGGAAGTTTCTTGATGTACTTCATCGAGCTCTTCTGAAACCCTTCTGTTCCTGGATATTGAACAGTCACTTCATTGCATTTTCATTATTTCTGACTTCTAAAAAATTTTTCAGATGCATTTTCCATTGTCTTGTCTTCGGGAAGAATCTGCTCTCAGTATCTTTTCGTATTTCGTTCCTCACCCTCAGCCTTGTTGACGCTCAGCTCACCTCTTTTCATATCAGCCTTCTGAAACTAAAAATTAAAAGTCTTATGGTAATTTCAGTCAGATCATTTCTGTTCCCTGAACTCCTCTGCTCACGTTCAGGTCGAACCCAATTTAAGAAAAGTTGCAACTTTTCCAGTGAGGAAATGTGCTTGGGGGCTTTGAACATGTTGCACTCTTTGAAAACAGATTTCCTAACAAGGCATCAGGTCCTTGGAAATATGCAGAACATTCATTTTCAAAGTCAGTGCCAATTTCCCGGTAATTCTTGTTTAAAATCTTGGCCTAAAAGGGAGAGAGAGAAGGAACTGTCCAGGACTCATCCTGCGGTCCTGGTGGTTAGGACAAGGCCGCAGAGCTTCCCGCACGATCTGTGACGGGCCCAAGATGCCACGGGTCTCCGCGCGTAAGCCTTTCCTCCCGGAGCTCTGCTTCTGCTCCACCTTCTGGGAGATTTCCTCAAGTTTAGCCCTCAATTTGTTTGAGACTTTGGTCTGCTCTTTTGCCTGTCGTATTTTTTTTTTT